GAATGGTTGTGTGGAGAACACTCAGAATAGGAGTATGTTTTCTCCCTCAATCTAGAATATGTGTTTGTGTTCTTGGAACCTGCCATAAAGGAGTCAGACACATGTTTTCTCCCTCAATCTAGAATATGTTTTTGTGTTCTTGGAAGCTGCCATAAAGGAGGCAGACATGCTCCCAGTGGTTATCTTGGATCATGCTCCTGTTTAATTAAATATCTAAATTGCAAATGTAAACCCTTCCTAATAATTATGGGAACAGTTAGCCATATGTACTGTACTTACCATCTGTTGTCCTCAAACACTTTCCTAACATTAACTAAGCACTTTTCAGAACATGCTGTGAGCTAATTATCATCATTCCTTTTTTTACTGATAGGGATGGTTAAAAAGAAAGGTTAAATTACTTCCCCCAGCTGATGAAATAAGAGTCTAATTTATGATTAGAACTCAGGTCTTGTCTACACATCAAGCTAGTTCACAGTAAGCCAGGACATGGATCTACAGTGCAATAGCTTGCTGCATACCAACGGCTTGTGTGGACTCTACTACCATCCACTTAATTTGCAGTGCACAGTAACATGATCCACATGGCCAGTTAATACATGGGAAGCTAGTGTGCTGTAGATTCACATCCTGCACTACCGTGCACTCATTCACTGTGTAGACAAGCCCTAAGGCTTCCTTGTTTATACTTATACTACAAATTCACTGCCCTAAGACAACCACTTTGTGCAAGCCCACACTCCACCCTCAGCCTCCGCCATTCAGCATGGCTACCCCAGTCCTGGGGATGACTGGGCTTCATCCCTTGGGGAAGCTGGGATCATAGGCTGCCCACATTCTGGGCCCAGCAGGACTGCACACCACACATCTTCCAGAGCTGGGGGAGAGCCACCACCCTCCCATGCTTTGGGGGAAGCTGGGGCCATGCGCCATCCAGAGAACCTTGTAAATCGGAGTGGGGAACCTCAGGCCTGGGGGCTAGATGTGGTCCCCAGCTTGCCTGGATCCAGCCCCTGAGGCTCAGGGCCTCCCCCCAGCATTCGGGAGCCTGCATTGGCACTTCAGCTTTCTCCTCCTCCTTCCCCCGCCCTGGCCTCCCCCCAGCATTCGGGAGCCTGCATTGGCACTCCAGCTTTCTCCTCCTCCTTCCCCTGCCCTATTGCAGGGCTGAAGCACATAAAATCTACTAGGCTGGGGGCTTTGGTGTGTGAGGGTAATGTGGGACCTACTGCAGGGCTGGAGCACATAAAATCTACTAGGCTGGGGGGCCCCCAAGCTTTGGTGTTTGAGGGTAATGTGGGGAGTGTCTTTTCTCATTTTCAGTCAGGGGCCACATCAGTGAGGGGTCCATTTTTTTGTTTTGTATTGTTCTGTGGGGGGAGGGGTTGTTTTCCTTTGTGTGTGATCCCCAACTGATTTTTCTGTGGGTGAGTGGCCCCTGACTCAAAAAAGATTCCCCACCCTTGCTGTAAATCCATGGATATCCACTTTTTACTCACAGGTATCCACATCTGCAAATACAGATGCAGATAGTTGTGGCTCATTTTTGCAGATATGCATGCAGATAGAAATTTTGTATCTAGAACCCTGCAAATTTGCAGATAGCCACTCTATAGCCTTATGTATCTGCATCCCTGGATATGGAGTTGGATAAAAGCAGGTCATTTTTGCAGATACAGATGCAGATGTGGATACAAAATTTTGTATCCATGCAGGGCTCTTGCTATCTGTCCTCCCCATGCTCCAGGGACTGACGAAGGTTGAGACTCCATGCCTCCTACAGGGTGTGGCTCACCTTGACTATTCATGAGACGGTGAGACTGCCTGAAGGGGAAATGATTTATTGTAATGAGAGAGTCATGGCAGACCTTAGGTATTCTCACCTTTTCATCGCTAGTCAAGGTGAGCCACATCCATCGTGATTTAATTAGTACTGAGGTTACATTTCCATCTCTGTATCCCTGTCTTTCTTTCACTTCAAGCATCTGAGGAAGTGATTTGTATTTCACAAAAGCTTTACAAAGCCCTGGCTGGGATGATTTAGTTGAGATTGTCTTGCTTTGGGCGGGGAGCTGGACTCGATGACCTCCTGAGGTCTCTTCCAACCCTATGATTCTAAAGTTTATGCCCTAATAAATTGGTTCATCTGTAAGGTGCCAAAATCCATAGATATATATATATATATAATGTCCTCCCCTCCCTCTCCATTCTGCGTCACTTTAGTTCATTTGATTTTCAATTATGACTCCTAAAGGAGGGCTACATTCTGCCTTGGGTGGAAGCAAACAGTAGCAGGAGGAACAAGAAAGTTGCTCCATTTTATGCACAGCCCCTGCAAAGACTGGATAGAATTGCAATACCTGTGCTCACTGGGGCACAGTGACTGCTTCTTTGCTATTCCCACAGGGTGCACATTTTCCCCAGTGGGTGGGGTATGGTGGAGCTGTAAGTAGGCAGAGTCATGACTGAAACTTCATTCATGTACAGGACAGCAGAACTGACAGGCCTTGCAGGGTTGATAGAGGATGCTGCAAACCTTGAAGGTACATCAGAGGTGGGCAAAGGGGCCTTCGTGGGTCAAATCCAGCCTGCCATGATAGTGGATCCAGCCCGAAGCCACCCTGATGCTTCCCTGCCTCCAGGCCAATCGAGACCTGGGGACAGGGGAGCATGTGAAGACTCCTCTACTCTGCCAAGAGTGCACAGCAGCTAGAGAGAAATGCCAGCTGTTTAAAACTGCCAGCGTTTCTTTCTAGCTGCCATGTGCCCTTGGCAGGTTGGGGATAGGAGATGAGACTTTGCATGTTCCCCCACCCCCAGGTCCTGATTGGCCTGGGGACAGTGGGAGCACATGAGTTCTCCTCCCTTTGCAGCACCTAGAGGGAACTGCTATCTGTTTAAAAACAGCTGGCGATTCTCTCTGGGCAATGGGAGGGGGGAAGACTTCATGCGCTTGCCCACCCCCAGACTAATCAGGGTCTGTGGGGAGGGCAGAGGAGGGGAGGGAAGCCCGAGAAGTCTCCTGGCCCCGCCCTTCCACCAAAGGTCCTGCCCCTTCTGGGGTGACCTGGGGCTACTTCAGAAATTTATGAAGTGGCCCCTTTTTAAAAATTATTGCCCATCCCTGAGGTACGTAATAGTGTGAGGACTCCACCATGCAGCTCTGTTACTGGGCCATGTGCAAATGGTTCAGCTGATCACTTAGCCTTTATCCATTGATAAATATGGCTTAGTTATTGCTGGTGTTGGAAAAGTAGAATTAACAGTTCAAGTATTGTGTGTTAATTAAAACGAGGCTATGTTTTACTGAAAATTCAGGACATTCTGTAGCACAATGGGGTCTCTGTATGTGACCGGAACCCTTCAATGCTACTGAAATACAAATCACACATATTATAAGTAATATTGTGAGGAAAGTCAATAACCTGAAGCTCTACTATAATGAGAAGTTTCCTGCTCAGCTAAGGACTGTTTTTGGCTTTCAGACACTTCAGTTATATCATCTTTGTTAGTCAGACAATTGATACATTGTGTCCATTCTACTTGCTACCTAGTCATCTAGTAAATTATTACCTATTGTATTTTAAATGTGTTGTTGTTTTTTTGTAATATGTATTTAAAGATTTGTTTAGCACCTATTACAGCAGCACCTAAACAAGTACCCAAATTTTTCAACGTCTACATCTAATACTCATGAATCAGACAACTTAAAATCCCTACATTTATAGTCACCAGAACCTCAGGACTCAAACTGTGATTGCAAGTTACTAGAAAAAGTCTTCAGCTAGCACTAGACATACAAAATTAGTTTAAACTAGGTAGAATTAAAATACTGAGCATGGCAAAATAAGGAGAAAAGTTTATAATCTCGGATAGCAACCCTCTTAATTGACACAGAGTAGCTGAATACAGCATGGTATAAGTTTGCAATAAGATTGAGGTTCACCTAAGGAGGGAAACTTTCATATTATCTCAATATTTTTCTATTTTTAAATACTTGGAATGTACTCATATTTCAATGATGGTAGTTATATACATACCTAGAGTGGGGGTATGTCTACACTACCACCCTAGTTCGAACTAGGGTGGTTAATGTAGGCAACCGGAGTTGCAAATGAAGCCCGGGATTTGAATTTCCCGGGCTTCATTTGCATATTGCCGGGTTGCCGGGCGCCGCCATTTTTAAATGTCCGCTAGTTCAGACTCCATGCCTGCAGCTACACGTGGCACGAACTAGGTAGTTCGGATTAGGCTTCCTATTCCGAACTACCGGTACACCTCGTTCCATGAAGAGTTACGGTAGTTCGGAATAGGAAGCCTAATCCGAACTACCTAGTTCGTGCCACGTGTAGCTGCAGGCATGGAGTCTGAACTAGCGGACATTTAAAAATGGCGGCGCCCGGCAATATGCAAATGAAGCCTGGGAAATTCAAATCCCGGGCTTCATTTGCTACTCCGGTTGCCTACATTAACCACTCTAGTTCGAACTAGGGTGGTAGTGTAGACATACCCTGAGAGAATTGTGTTTTCAGGTATAAATTCAGGTATTTGCACATAAATTAAAGTGGTTCTCATACCTGTACCCTTCATGAAAATACTTTTATTAAAAACAATTCCATAACAATATTTATTGCAAAATATTGCAGCTTCTGCTTCAGTTATTATAAACTGCCAGTCACTTATGAAATACAGTACTATAACAGTCCCTTGCAGAATGAAACAATACATTCAAATTATGAAAACTTGTTTATTCTACAAAGCTGTAACAAGTGCTTAAATGAGATTCACAAAGTCACTTCACTCATGACCTGTCCTCCTGGAGGAAAAGATACTAACTGCAGTCTTATGGGCAAAGAGCTAGTGATGGTTAATCTTGTCTGTTCTTCTTTGAGTGATGGTCCCTATTGTATTCTGCTATGGGTCAAGAATCCACACCACTGAATATTATAACTTTTCCTATGACAGTTTGACTCTATTTATTCTGTTTTTCTTCTCTCTAGATTTCTAATGACCAACAAGTTCTATACAGGCTCTGCTCGAAACTGGTTTACTTTAGATTCTGTTGAGATTGTGCACGACAACCAGAAGACTGCTAAATTTAATGTCTCTATCATCTCTGCTCCTGCGGAGTATTCATTTCACTGTCAGCTGGTGGGGACCAGCAGTCTCTATGGTGCAAAGCTGATTCCAGCCAACAATGAAGCAAAGAGCTGGGATGTTTACCTTTCAGAGTTCCAAGTGAGTACATATTGCCATTTCAGAGGCAGTTCTGGGAATGGTTACTTGCTAGAGTAGGTGTTGAACAGCATGAATTCATAACACCTGCACTTATAGTTCAACTTTAAGGAAAAATAAGAAGTATGGCATTTGCTCACTACAGGTGCTATTCAATTGGGGAACGAGAGAGCAGGCAGTTTTTCAACACTAATATGAGAGCAGCTGAAAAACAAACTTTATAAAGCCATACCCAGAAAGGGAGAAAAACCAATAAACACTAACACACTCAATCAGCGTAAAGGGACTCGGGGAAGATATATTGTAAAATGAGGCCCTATAGCACCCTAAATTATCTGGATGGGACAAAAAAAAAAATCCATCTCTCACTGCCTCCAGCATCACCCCAGGGAACAGCCTAGGTGTGGTTCCCCACTTGTAGGAAGGGGTGGGACATCAGTAACTCAGAGAGACTCATCTAGAGAGGTTACAGAAATCTCTGGGATGGGCTCTAAGGCTGCAACTAAGTTACTCTCCCTCTTGAGGGACATCACAGCTACCGGTGAGACCCCACGACTGAGCCTCAACACTGGGGAGTATGGCAATGAAGTTTCTAAATTGCCTCGTCCTCTCGTCATGGTGCCTTCTCCCCGGTTGTTTCATTTATCCATGTCAGATCTGTTTGCGAGGTGCAGTGCTACCACCCAGCTACCAGAGAAACTCCCAATAAGTAGGGTTGTCAATGGCCTAATCACACAAACACAAACATCCCACCCCTGTCTGCTCAACTCCTTCGCCAAGGCCCTCCCCCCTCCCTCCATCACTCATTCTCTCTCACCCTCACCCTCACTGGGCTGCAGCAGGGGGTTGGTGAGCAGGAAGACACGTGGGCTCTCAGCTGGGACCAAGGGGTTTGGAGTGTGGGAAGGGGCTCTGGGCTGAGCCTGTGCATGGGGTTAAGGTGGAGGCTCCGGGAGGGAGTCTGAGTGCTGGAAGTGGCTCAGGGTACTTTGTGAAATGAAAGCTCTTTGTTGTTTTTAAAGCTGCATTCAGGCTTCTCATTTTTCTTCAGTGTCTGTCATACTGGTTAGTTCAGGTTGCACCTCCCTGGTCTGGCACCACTGGGACCTGACCAGTCCCGAATGAGGGGATTTGCCAGATCAGGGGAGATTCCCTGCAACTGGCTCCCCAGCTTGCTGCTGGCTACACTTCCTGCCCCCTCAGGTCACCCTGCCACCAGGCCTGGCCAGGATGCCTGCCACTAGCCCTACCTTGGCTGGCTGCTAGGCAGCCCCATTCCCCCTGGCTGGGCTGTTACAGTCCTGGGTTCCCCTGTCAGTCTGCTGTGACCCTGGATTCCTTGCCCGTCTGCTGGTTTGCCACAGCACCAGGTCCTCTGCTGAAGTGCCATGGCCCCAGCCCTGGCTCCACTTCCAGGCTGCTACCAACCGCACCAGGCTCCCAGCCCAGCAGTGTTCCCAGCTGCCGGCCCTTCTGCTGCCTGACTCCCAGCCACAGGGGCTCTCTGGCCCAGGAACACAGATTTTGCCAGATCAGAAAGTCCCGGTTTATGGAAGTGCAACCTGGAGCCCTTTTTGCTGCTCAGGGCAAATGTCCCAAAACCCCAAAGCCAGGACTTTTAGGATTTACAAGGCTAAACTATTTCAAGCCTCAGCATTTATAAGTTACTCTCGAGGGTATCCATCCCTAGTCTTTGTGAAGGATTTGATAAAGGTCAAATGATTAGGAAACTCTGTTTAAAATACACAATATACTGCACACAATACAATTTCATTTTAAAAATAAAAATCAGTAAATAGAGAATAGGCAACCTTGTAACAATGATACTAACTGGAGCACTAGAATTAAAGCCTACAGAGGGTTGGAATCCTTATCAAAAGATTTATATAAAAACAACTAACTAAGGATTATATATATATGTATTTTTAACTTCTACACAGGTGGCAAATCTGCAGGGAGTAGCATCTTTATTTGCCAGTTGGGATCCAACAACACCCCCATCATAAAGATCAAATATCAGAAAAGCAATAAGAGAATTTGGAATAAACTACAGTGGTTTCCTAAGTAAACATAGCATTTCAAGAATGTATAATTAAAGCTCCCACCTAAAGGTTTGCTAGGCATAATCCTTGTTGAAGAAGGAATACTACTATCACATAAAATAAAATTCAATCTTCCTGGCTGTTGCTCCAACGAACATAATTGTTCTAATAAAAGCAGATCCCTCCATTAAGTATTTCCGATTGTCCTGTGAAAATGGCAACTAGCATGCGTTGTTTCACAGAAACTCAATCAGTTAAGAACCAAAATGACATGAAGGATCATCTATGGGTGTTTTTTTCAATGAACCTTTCAAATTGTGTTTCATGGCTCCCATTCCAGCTTTGGTGTGATGTCTAAACAGTGGCTTAATGGTGAAATGCCCTGGCAAATGCATCATTTACTAAAGCTGTGTACAAACTCAGCCTATCAACCCAAATGTTTGTTTCCCATAATCCTACTTGAGTCAGAAACATATAATTGGATATAGCGCAAAGCAGTCAGTATTATAACTACTGTGGTAAAAACACATAAAAAGGCCCAAGTACACTGGTACCTCCAAAAATATCTTTACCTCCATAGCAGACAAAACACTCCTTGCCTGCTCTAATTTTGCAGATCATGCAGAACTGCACTAACCAGCATTTTGGAAAGTCATTATAGTAGCTGAATGAGAAAGAGCACCTACGCATTTCCAAATAGTCTGGGTTGCAAAGGCTTGCAATTCAAGCTGTCTCTTAAAGTTGTGAACTATTTTATTTATTTTCACTAAGTAATTCTTTTATACATTTGTGCAATTTCATTAACAATTCATAAAGAGGGTAATGGGAAAAATAAAGCAGAAATGGTTTCTGTAGGGGACACTCCACTCTGATAAACTGAGGACACAAAAGGCAAACAGACAAAAAGGACAAAGACTTCATTCTTACTAGCTGGAAATCCAGCTCATGTCTTCGTATGAAAACCTAGGTATTTCCAGTACAAACACCATGTTACTACCACAACATCACACCATAGCTCATGGTAGTTCAATGAATGGTAGGATGTGTTCCCCCCTGTAATGTCCTTTTTGCTATTTCTGTGGTAAGTTTGTACCTCAGAATCATAAACATAGAGAGCTAAGGAGAAAAATATATTTGGAATTCTGCTTTCTTGGTATATGTGCCTAGTGGGAAAAGGTGATTCCAACAATTAACTTTCACAAGTATTGCCAACTCTTGTGATTTTTATTACAAACCTCATGATATTTGGTATTTTCCTTAAAGGCCTATCTCCGGATATGTCTATACTAGCCCCCTAGTTCAAACTAGGGAGGCTAATGTAGGCATTCGAAGTTGCAAATCAAGCCTGGGATTTAAATATCCTGCACTTGATTTGCATGATCCCGGTCAGTCGCCATTTTTGAAATTTACAAGTCCGAACTAACTGCCCACGTCTACACTCGGCAGGGACCCGGTATTTCGAATTAAAGCCCTAAATCGAACTAGCTGTTATTCCTCCTGCAAGGAGGTTTAACAGGTAGTTCGATTTAGGGGCTTTAATTCGAAATACCGGGTCCCTGCCACGTGTAGACGCGGGCAGTTAGTCCAGACTTGTAAATTTCAAAAAATGGCGACCGGTCAGGAACATGCAAATCAAGAGTGGGATATTTAAATACCGGGCTTGATTTGCAACTTCAAATGCCTACATTAGCCTCCCTAGTTCGAACTAGGGGGCTAGTATAGACATACCCTCCCACAGTCATGTGAGAACCTCAGCTCTTTCTTTTTTTTCTCCCCTTCTCGTCAAGTAAGTTAATAGCTTTCAGAATTGAGGGCAAAAGCTTAAAATACACTTTAATACTCAAACACTGAAAAGATAAATAGAAAGAATAATAATATATTATTTTTAAATGTCATAATTTTTTAATCCCATTTCATGGTTTTGGGAGACTGACTTATGATTTTTTAACATTTAGATTGGCAGATCTGAAATAGTTAACTTACATTGGTCTCATGCCTTCCTTGGAATTTTACCTTTACAATATTCCCTTAGGTAAAAAAAACCCTAGGTCTCTGAAGTTTGGAAGCAGAGCTTCCTTTTTGTAAAACAAGTAACTACAGGCAGTCCCTGAGTTACGTGGATCTGACTTATGTCGGATCCGCAGTTACGAACAGGGCTTTTCTCGCCCCAGAGGACGGGAGCGGCGGGATGCCCAGATGCGCCGCGGTCCGCCGCCCCCATCCTCCGGGGCAAGAAAAGCTGCTCCCCGTCTCCCTGGTCTTCAGGGAGATGGGGAGCAAAGCCTTGGAGCACGCCCACAGCAGGACAGCCCGGGCACGCTTGAGCTGTCCCCCTGCAGGCGTGCTCCGCGGCTTTGCTCCCCGTCTCCCGACCAGCAGACCAGGGAGATGGGGAGCAAAGCCTTGGAGCACGCCC